GCTGCAACTTGTTCTGCCAAGACCCAGGATGCTTGAACTGTCTCTTGCAACTGCACCAGGAAACAGATTTGCTCTCATAGCAGACTGCTGTATTGGCTCTCATCATTCTTCTGTATTTCACAGATAATCAAATTAATTTAGGGGATTCATTGTCATCTTTGAAATAGGGCTCATAATTTACTGTTTCTGCTGCTTGGCCTCTTCTGCTAGATTATTCAGCTTGTTGTACATGCCTTGCAAATCCCAGAGAGGCAAGAATAGATCTCATGAGCTACCTGGCGTCACTTGCACAGAGGTCATGGCAGCAGTGATGCCTAAGCCTTCCTCTCTAGTGTTCAAATACAGTCAAATGTTGCACACAGGCCTTGGAAAATAGAGCCATTCCTCAACCATTTTCCAAAAAGGGTGCCATCCAAGGAAGTGGTAGTTGTCCCTTCCACACCCAAGTGAATTTGGCATGACCAGATCATCTTCAAAAGCTAAGGAAGTGATTCTGTTCCCTTCACAGAAATATCAGTCATCTTCAAACTCCAGCTTAAAGGCCAACGGAATAGTTACCAAGCTGAATAGAAAGGCAGACTTTATATTACCTTGCTTCGTTCTGCATGTGATAGGAATAAAGGCTGGGCACTCCCTCTAATTCTGAAGTCCTGCTCCTGTAGAAGTATTTAATGATGTTCATAGTGTGCAACATGCTTTCCTCCCATGACATTCATAACATGCATTAATGACGTACTGAATAAATGCTTTAGTAGTGTCTACACACTACTCCCTGCAGCTTGTAATTTTTCTTAGCCTGTTTCTAGACGTGCTATGGGACAGCCAAGTTTTCCAAGAAACAGAACTCAAAAGTCTTTCCTGTCAGGTATTCACCAGGTAAGCTTTAGCTAATTTGTCAGTACAGTTGAGAGTGGCTGCAGCACAATGACTGAAATCATTACTGGCCTCCATTTGCTAACAGTCCCAACAGTTCGCAGTTTCTGGAATCAGAATAGGATGGTGTTCCCTAATGCCATCTGGAACCTCCCCTGTGGTTAACCAGCCACAAGTTAATCAGCCCTGCTAGGGAGTCCCCCTCAGGATCCACCTGAGGCGTCTTTTTTGTTGACTCTGTGGGGATCTAGCAGAGCTTTTTTGTTTGTCACGATCTTGATAAAAACTTCAGCCAGTATTAGCCTCAAACACTGTTACCTGCACACGCCATCCTTTTAAAATAGCCCAAAGCCAGCAAAAGAGGTGGAGCAGTTTCTTATTTCCCCCAATTAGTCTCACAGACCATTGTGGGATTCCACTATATCACTCACCTGCTATCCAGGAGTACCAAGGCAAGCTTACCTGACTGACTCACAAAAACACTCCTCTCTCTCAGTAATTACCTGCTCCACCTTCATAAAGGTTTGTTCATGTTTTGCCTTAGGCTGACTGGCTTTCTTGCTTCTGGTGGGAATGACACTCTGTAGGAAGACTGAGAGAATATCAAAAGACATTTTCAAATACAGGTCTCATGTCTGCTGTTCCCTGGTCCCATTCACAGAGGAATCTGCATTAGTTATTACACATACATTTCTTATTCAGGTGCTTTACGATCCTCAATTTTTATTTCTTCAAGGACTTGTCTCAGTGGGGTTTTGGGACTCCACTTCAGTACAAAGCATGCAGAGTCACGTACTGCTTGCAACCAGTGTGGCTTTGATGCTACCTCAAGTTTCATCACTGCTAAGGTTACTTCAGTCTTCACTGTCAGCTTGTTGATGTTACACTCAGCTGATTATTATCGGTTGTTGATTATCACACTGAGTTTTGATCCACAGGACATTATTCTTTTGTCTAAGACCAGACTTTGTGCTAACTCATACAGTACAAGCTTCACAGGCCTGACTCCTACCAGTGGTTGGAACCCCTTGCACTTTGGTTACATTACTGGCTGAGGATGGCTCATTTTGAATGACCTCTGGAACAGGATGCTGGAAAGCTACATTCATTACTTCCAACAGAGATGCACTGCCAGCACATGTGCTATCCTCAGAGCCAGTAGGCTGGGCTGTCAATAGGTGACACCTAAAATGACTTCAGGAAACCCCCTTTCCTTGCCTCAGAAACCCCCCCCCCCTCAATGGATCTCTGGACAAAGCAGAGCTTCATCCGCTTCTGGGGGGGGGGAGGGGGGGGGGAGCAGGTTTCTTCTCCAGTTACAGAGAATCAGAATATAGAAGAGACATCAGGAGAAGCTTAAGTTAACTTTGTAAATGCCAAAGCTATTTATCCTGTCTGGAAGATGACCGAACTACCTACCTGATGCAACATGATCCTACATAGACAAAAGAAGGTTAAGAGTCTTCCCACCTCCTCCCTTCCATATTAATTTTAAGAAGGGCTACATCACCAATTCCATTCCAAATCACCACTTGCAGTCTCATAATCTAACACCAGTGCAGATATTTCCTAGATCAGTCACTCCAAGGTGATTTAATTTTAAGCAAAATAGTTGAGTACTAGAGAAAATACTTGCCTCATTATGTAAAAGCAAAGCTTATTTTTAGATTCCTCCTTATAATCCCTTCTGATCTGCTCCAATAGGCCTGAGCTGAAATCAATAAAGGAATAAAGATCCAAATATGTAGATTTCCATCCTATCTTCTTTGAATTGCCTTTTTGTGTGCGTTAGACAGCAAACTCAAAATAGAACGCTAAAGAACACTGTTCCCAGGAGATTTAAAGCAGCAGAATCAGTAAAGTTTCTGCTGAACAGAGCTCAACAATAGGTATGCTGCAGCTTCTAACTTTTCTACTATTAAACATTTAGCTATTATTCAATCTCTCTAAAAAAAATAAAAAATAAAAGCAGCTTTTTAAGCTTTATTATTGTACTGCAGCCTCAAATACCCTGAAAAGATGACTGCAAGATGAAAGCTTGCTGGAGAAAACTGCATGCATTACAATTAGTCTCAACTTTGCTAGTCAGTGACAAAGCAGCAGAACAAAACTTACACGTTTTTTTCCAGCAGAAGGTAGAACACTGCCACCCACTGCTTTTTCAATGTATTCCCCTCTCCTTTTGAGACCTCAACTGCAGAAAGCAGAACCGAGTATTGTGCAGATGCAAGACATCCTTTAGCTACTTTACACTACGCCTTCCCTTCCTCTCTCATTCCAACATTGGGTCCTTCTACCAGGTTACATATCTATAATATTTCAGTCATTAATAAAACTGCATGAAGGAGAAAAGGCCTCCTATAAATTTGCTCTACTACAATTGAAATCTCAGGGTAGACAGAGGCTGAATCACAGAAAAAGTGATATTTTGTTTATATGCACACTGGAAGCAGGGTTTTCCATCTCTGTACCAGTGTGAGGTTTCTGCAGCCACTACTTGTATCAACTCAGTTTCAAGCTGAAGATAATCACCCATACTTCACAAGCTCTACCTCCGTAGGGTTGGAACACCCACCTGTTTTTGAATACTCTCCCATTCATTTTGCATTATCCCTCACCACATCAGAAAACAAAATTCACTTTTCAGCTAGGTCACAGGTCATTCTCTACAATCAACATGCCTATCCAGCAGTTTATCTTCTGTTCCTGCTTGGAATACGCAGGTTTTTTTTTTTAATCCAAGGATCAGAAGTGATCAGAACTACTGCAGACTCAAGTATTGCAAAGACAAATGTGCTTAAGGATTTTTTTTCCTCCTGTTTAGAAGCATCTTATACAGACGCTGCCACCACCCTCTACTGGTGGAGATACTGGAAGCTACAATCCATTCCTTACATACCAGAGCACCAATTTAAATAAGTCATCTACAATTACCTCATCTTTCATTAACAAAATACTTTGGAAGCCAGCTTACAACAAGAAGTAGAATCCCCAGTTGCTCAGGCTGAAGTATTTACCAGTAAGTAATTTAAGAGCCATACGTGATTCCGTTCTATCAAAACAAACTAGACTTGACTCCTGAAAAGAAAGTTCTAAAGAGGTATGCATGCAGTGTGTGGTATTTAAATTAAATATTATAATTAAACATAATACTATGCTTAATTACCTCAAGATCAGATAACCTCTGTTGAGAAGTAAGCATTCCTAAACAATCATTACACTTTGTATCTTACCCATATATCAAGAGATCCCAGTTATGGCTTTGGCTTAGCTACTGTCTACCAAAAATAGCCGTAAAACATCCAATACCAACAATGCAAAACAGCCTTAAGGCGTCTACAGTAAAAAATAAAATAATCAAGGTCCCAAACTAAAGCAAGAACAACATATGTTCAGGCTGGCTTCTCTCTGCTGGGAGATGGAAAAAATGGGCCAATGACTTGCAGAAGGAGAGACCGAGTAGCACCTGCTTCGCTGAACTCCCAGTGTACACAGTTAGCTAAGATTACACTTGTCCCCCATATACACTACACCAGCGTTCATTTACTAGAAGCAGCACCAAGCTCAGCTCAAATTCCTTTGAAAGAATGATGCAGTTATCCTTCTCTTACTGCACAAGAAGGAATTTAATTTACACAGACGCCAACTGTATTTGAGAGTTCTCTCCCTGGTTCATGGAGGTGACAGCACTAAAATTCATATACATGCTCTAAGAGAGTCTTTGGAAGCAAGTTTCACTGTATTCATACTATTGCTCAATAAAAGCCTAAACACTTCCCTCACTATATAACTAAATTGCCAACCATTAATGAGTAAGAAAGTTTTTATTCTGAACTCACTTTTCCTTCAAAGTGAGTAAGCATTTAAGACAGCTTACTTCTTTTGAGGCACAAACACAGAAATTTTTCACTAGTCCTGAACATCAAGACAGCAGCCCCCTAGCAAAGTAATCGGATGATCGTATGAATTCATACTTTGCTGGAACAGTTCAACATACAGCTATGGACCTGCTGAAAGGTTTTCACATAACTGAATTAGTGCACACCCTTCAACACTTTCATACTCTTGTTTAAGGATCACAAAACTTCCATTAAGTGTAATACAATTTTAATAACTGCACAAAAGACTAAAGTATTCTAGACATTTATTTTTCAGTATACAATATCACGTATTTAATGTTAAGAAATAAGGACCAAAGATCATAAAATATGAATATAGTTTTCACTAAATAAATATTTGACTAAGAACAAGGCGCGTTCTAAGCCATACTTCATGGAGTTACAATGAAGTTCAGGCACGAACAGGAATATCTTATTGTTTTATGATTTACAATTCTTTTGGTCTATTTAACAGAAACTGAACCAACTGAAGCAGAACTTCATCATTAAAGCCTTTCACATCACCATCTTCCACAACATCATATAACGGCTTACTGTCTGTACCCCAACAGATATTTTTCCGAGGGTTATTTTGAATAGTTTCTACAGTTAGCGCTAAAGTATTTAGCTGGTAACAAAAGAAGGCGAAGTATTTTCCATCAGTCACTACTGCCTGTGATACAAAAGGACGAGTCACATCTGCTTCATTCCAGAATCCTACAAAATAAAAAACAACACTAGTTATATAGGACTCAGAATTCCTACTAGCACACACATCTAAACCCAGATCCTGAAATACAGAAAAACAGAAGGAGCTGCAGCAGCCTTTTTGGTAGGGGGTGGAGGGGGGAAAAAAAAAAAAATCACTTTAAGAACACGAGAATTCCTCATACAGACTAAAAATGAAGATATAAGAGACAGTCACCCATTAAGGATTTTTTAAAAGATCAGAGACACACTGGTATATCTGGATTCTGTACACAGTTCCCTATAAAGAGCCAGGCAGCAACCACAACGTTAATACATACTGACTGATATAAAATCAAATTGATTCTTCAGGTGACTTTCAAAATTACATATGTAAGTTATGAATGCATTAAGTCCTGCAAGCAATCAGAGGGGAAAGTCTTTTGACTATCCCACTCTTTCACAGGGCACTAAAAATTTCTTCTATAATAGAAGAATGGTTTATATTACCATATGCATAACTGGTTGCAGTAATTTGCCAAGCAAGACTGAGAATGCTATGCCCATATGAATTCACACTTCAAACAATCCCTGTTGAGCATTAAAGACTTCTAACAAATTTTTCTTTACATATTTATGTATGTGCATTAGCAGGACCATGTTCAATGAACACCACTAGAAATCGATACAGAAGAAAAAACTTCAGAGATTTGAATCATCTTGTCCTTGTCAATGTCCTTATGACTGTAAACAGCTTTAACACTGAGACTTAGTTGGCTTCAATATTTTATGTCTGCAAAAGAGGTAATTGTGTGTTAAAAAGCTTGACATTACAATTTGATGAAGCGCGAGCAATATACATACACTAGTCAAAGGATTTTCTTTAATGAGTTGTTTCAGAACTGATACTACAGACCAGCAAACTAGCTTCTAGTAACACCAGCCTACAATTTCAGTTACATGCATTAAGTTCTCGTCTACTTGCCCTTGTCTAAGGCCGAGATATTACTCTAATATGTGCAAGTCATCCTGAATGAACTGAGGACACCAGACTACCAATGCAAGACAGCTTTCTAAGTATCCACAGTACCAAGCAAAAAGGTCCAAGCATGCTGGAATATACAGAGATCCTGGCAAATACCTGTATGCCATGGGAAGAAGTAAAATAAGCTCTAAATTCAACAGTGACATTTTGTTTAGAACAACATACTTAAGGAGCCAGGAACTAAAATACTTCCTGAGATAGTGTAAGACTAATACATTTTAGTGTACAAAGACCTTGATTCCCATAGCAACTACTTGGCATTCCATTATGTACGAAAGGAACTCATAAGTTTTAAGAGTGCATTCTAGTAATTGGAAATACTGCTTATAACCAGTACTTCCAATATCATCTCGTGATTTTAGCAATCAAGATCTATTGACTCCTCATTGGCATTAGATTTCCGAATTGACTTCCAGCTTTACCTTTCCATTAACCATTTACTCCCTATATGTATAGTACAACTGAATATGCAATATAGCAAGGAAAACTGTCCATCTATATATTTTCTGTCTCATAGATCTTGCAACTCAGAGCAGGGATTCTGCACAAAGCAGATTGATGTAAAGCAACAAGTGGGAGAAAAAGAACCTCAGATTGTACAAAGCATTCTTGACTGCTTTACTTCCCCCCTACACACACTTTCTAACAGAACATGAATATACACACACATATGCTTTCATTTAGAAAGCACACCAGGACAAATAAGAGAAATTTCCTCTTGCTAGAGTAGCAGATCATGGTTCAAAAAAATTTCAGAAAGACACTCAAATTCAAATCTGAACAAGTACCAGCATCTGTTAAGAAAATCACCAAGTGACAATAACCAGGAATGTTTTCATAAAGGTTTAAGACAAGCTTCTTCCTCTGATTTATTACAATTCTCATAAGGCCTTTCTCCTTATTCTAGACTAAAAAAAGAGGCAAGCTGCAGAAAACTGTTCTATTAATTATGCTCTTTTGCATTTTTCTGGCAGTCATTCTTACCAATAGCAGATAATTAGAAAAGCATACCGAAAGAATAAAAGAGGAAACTATTGTAGTAACCCAAATCATTTTTATTTGAATGCCTGGGAGGATGTGGTAAGAATACGAAATAAAACTGTAATGTAATTTCAGTTTTACTTTCTCAGACAGCATAAAATTTCAATTTGAGATTAGTACCAGGCTAAAAATATCTGAAAGCATTCTCATTTTCAGAACACATTTCTTCTCCAAACCACTACAAACTGTACAGTTACCTTATACTAGTATCCTAAACAATAGGAAATAAATATTGCATACAAAGCTAAGGGAGAAGACAGGCTGTTATTCCAGAGTTTCTATACAGTAACCTACCACTTCTGCTAGAAGAACTTATTCAGTCTGACAGCCTGCGTATATACATCATACACACACACAATTTTTTTTTTTGTCAAGCTTATACACATACTTTCTAAAATAGCAGTGTCTCAGAAGACCAAAACTGCAACACTTTGAGGAACAAGGAAGCAAACAACTGATCCAAGTTACCCATTCAGGTCTTCTAGGACTTTTAGACACAACATAGGCATAGGTTCATGAGGTAAGACTCTAACATTTTTCTTTCACTGGTTGTAGTTTCACAGAATTAACATCTCTAAAACAGACTAAGTGTCTTCACTGTTTCAGGAAAACCTCTGCAATTAAATCACTTCAGACCTATTCCCTTTCCCCATCACAAAGCTTTGTCTTGCCAGCAAACGCAGCACTGAGTTTTTCCGCACAGATTTAGCATTATGTATAGAAAAAAAACCACTTTTCTGCAGAATTAGTTCTCCTGGACTCAGAGTACTTTAGATAAGAGAAAAATAACTCCTCTGTAACAATGCTGCTTCGTTCATTGGTTCAATTAAACTTTCAAAGACCTACTTAAAGGATGCTCTTCAGAAGAGGCATGAAAAGAGGGAAGAAAAAAAGTCAAGAGAATATTATATTTGGCATTCATCACCAGGAAGAATTTCGCGGATCGACTGCCTCACCTTGATACATTGCTTGTGCTGCTGTCCAGGCAAAGAGACTTGTAATACCATTAGCTCGATAAGTAACTTCAATCTGATCCTCAAGATTTGCTCTCAAGAACCTCTGCCTTTTTAGTTTATCAGGAACAAGATGGAACTGGGTGTGTCCATAACAGCATGGATCTGCCACCTTTGATCCTGTGCCCCCAAAAAGAAAAAAAATGAGAGTCACTCAGTCAGTAAGTGCTCTTCTTTATATACACATAAAGATGTCTTTATCATGAGAATCCAAAAAACTGAAAATTATATACATCTAAAATACAGGTTCAAAGCACTGAAACTTCTTCATTCCTGGGTGAGACTGGAGGGCTTGCCCAAGTTCAAAAGGCTCCTAAGAGTTAAGATACTAAGATGTCTTTGAAAGAGTTGTATCAAAATGCAAAGCCAGCTTTCTGCTAGTTTTGTATTCAACACAACTCCTTGAAATGGATCCTGAGACAAAGTACGCTACACACACAGGAGGATGCAGCTCCTCATTGCCCAAGATGCGATCTCAAAGCCTCAAGTATTCTACTGGAAAACAGACCTCGGATTTTTCTCAGAGACAGAATAGTGTGTCTGGAGGCTGCAAGCAGACACTGTTAAACTCTCACCTGCTTCTGTTGTTACTTGTTACCATAAATCTAAAGTTTCTCAACGGCTAAATCCATCTGACTAAAAAACTCTCACAAGAATCATAAACATACTCAGAATATATCCTGCACAGCGAATATTAGGGAAGCAGGATTTGAAAAGACTGTCAAAGTTTATGACTAGCCTAGTATTTTTGTCTCACGTGAAATATAAAAAAGGCATTAAAGAAAAAAATTAGTATTCAAATTTAGTATTCACAGTACAGTAGTAACATTATGATTTCATTTTACAGATTAATAACAGCTCTTCCCAATATATTTTCTGAAATGAAGTAGTTATATATCACCAATATGCTCACATATATGCACACATACACACATGTGCACTTTCACTGTTGACGGGAGGTACAAGGTTAAGGTTTTTTATTATTTTTATCTTTAAAAGTTAGCCTTTCACAACTAGAAAGTCTTACCTATAAATACCTTGTTTTCATATTGCTTTTTGAATAATGGCAACTTGGAGGGCTTGTGATCAACAACAGGAACATCCCCAAGATCTGACTCTAGTGGTACAACCTTGAAGAAAGTAGAAGAAAAAAGAAAAAAAGCCGAAACAGTAAGTTACACATTTCTTGATTACAGCATTATATAATGTGTCACTTTCTTGTTCAGACAACAGAACATACAAATCCTGCTTACATATACCTATATGTAATTTTAACCAAAATCAATAGCCATAATATGCTTGCAACAGACACTCCTATCTTGTGACAAGCATTAGTACAAGCATCTTACACTGACCTCTTAAAGACTGAATTTTCTGTAGCATACAAACAACATTATGGGGTACAGTGTTAACAAAGCCACCATTTGGTGCTACCTTCAAAACCTGGATCCACTTCTGCACAAGACAAGAAACAAAAATATCTCTAGCAGCAGTCATTAAACAAATTCGAGCCAGCAGAATGAGCTTACACATATTCAGTGTTTTTCACTAGGGAACATTTTTATGGGGTAATAAGTCTCTTAAAAAGAAAAGTGCAGGTCCAGTCCAAATGCACTGACATTAAAAAAAATTTGAACTATTTCCATCCCCACTAGCAGTAGTGCAGCCACATGTGGTTACATTCTATACTACTAGATGAGTTTAGTCTCAGAAAAACTTAACAGAAGGATCATCAAAACTGTAAATAGAATCTGTGCAATTTTGCAACCAGTCGTGAGAATTGGCAGCACTGACACCATTGAGGCAATAAGCAACTACAAAGCAAAGGCAGGTCCTATAACAAGCAGTTAGAACTTCTCATGTCACATACATGCATTGCAGTTTTAGCTTTCATTGCCCAGACACTCATCCCCAAAATGCCAGCAGCACTAACCTAAGCAAAGGGTGTGATCAAGTAAACAAGAAATGTTCAGCATTTTACAGTAACTGGAGCATTGTCTTCCGTTTTTGGTAGAACAGGGAAAACCAAGACCCTTTCAGGCTACACAATTACCACTGTGTAATCCTACAAGAGGTGGAAATATTCAATCTGCCTCCAGAAAACCTTAGTTCTCAAGCAAACAATTGGTAAGCCATAGTATCAGGTAACAGAGCTCACATTCAGATTATATGTCCTCTCTCTCACTCCAGTCCTCGCATCTCCACTGCTTTCACCGTCTTGTTCTCCTCCACTGAGGACAATACTTTCTCACTTACACAACACTCCTTATTCTTGTCTTCTCCCATAGTCTTGCCTCTCCTCATAGACAGAGGCATAAAGGAAGGTGAAGTCTCCCTTTATCTAAGCATAACAACATGTACTGTTGTTATGTATCTAAAACACAAAGATGACCAACTTGCAGTTTAAAAAAAAATCTCAATATCTGTAAAACACATAGCATAGCACAGCACAGCAGCAGAGAACGTTAAGACTTAAAAAATACACAAATGCTCTACATAAGTAATTAATGGGGCCTCCAGATACTATTTATTGCACAGAAATTTCAGCCTTAGTCAGAAACATTACTGTTGTGAAAATAAACATGATTAACTTGCTATTAAAACATGCACACCTCTGGAAGTTGCTTTGGTACACGGATCTGGAGGTGTGGGTGATCATCTATCTGAAATCGCACAGGATCGACTCTGCCTTTTCGATGTCCATGAACAACAACTTCCTCACCATGATGCCAGTAATAGTTAACCTCGGGTTTTAAGTCTGAAACAGAAAGCGGGGGTGGGTCATCCATTTGTGTATAAAACTGTCCCAACTCCTGCTCTGTAGATGCACTAAAACTGAACAATCAAAATCTTTCAGCATCCCATGAGTTTTAAAAATAAGAACGAGAGGTAGTTCTAGCAACGTTTGGAACACACTAGCGAACAGCTGCACCAGCGACACTCCTCTAGGGCTCGCAGACCAGCCCCACCACCCACGACCGCCCCCCAGTCTCCCTTCCTCCCCCACCCCCCTACTGCACACCGAGGGAGGAGGCAGCCAGCAGCGGGTTGCGACCGCACAGGAAGGCGGCGAGAGTGGAAACTAGCTGAGTGAGGAACGGGCCGGGCGTGTGGTCCTGATCGCGGTAGAGGAACGGCCGCTTCTTGTTCTGGTAGAAGCTCTCCTGCAGGAGCGCGTCGCAGGCGGGGGAGC